AGCTGTAGTTAGTAGTGAGTGTGTGTGTGTTTTCGAGTGTTAGAGTGATGCGTGTGGGATATCCAGGGTGATCCAGTGTATGTGAACAGTGAAGATGTTTGGGCGCTGAAGTCGCCATAGCCAATTGAGAGTGAACTCGTGTCTGAAAGCCATTTCTCTGAGTTTTGAGTGGGCGCATGTCGCCAGTATGCTGTGTTTTACATGCATGAAAAGTGTGTTTGAGAATGAGTCTGATTGCAGAGGAGCAAATTCTAGCAATCAATTACACTGTTTGTGACGAATTTCGCTTTTCAAAACTGCGTATCTCAGGATTCCTTGGTCATAATGCAGGAAGGCGTTGATTGTGTTCTTGATATACGGGACGCTGAACCCGCTTTTCAGCTATAAACATGGGGAGTATTCTCTTTAACGTTTAAACTTTAAGCCACCACTATCTTTCACAGGCAAACTCGAAACGAAAATACACCATAGAGTGGCATACACCGCATTCTTTGGAGGCCGGGTGCCACTGGGCCAAAATGGCTGGCAGCACCAGTTCCCCCCCCCAAAAAAAAAAGGATGTGCTGGTGCTTCAGCAAGCTTGGCTCACAGTTCTTTTCCGCCTCGGCAAAAACACGCTCGGAGGTAGAGGTAAAAAAAAAAAAAAAAAACCGGTTACATGTGTGTACCACACCCCACCACAAGGCGGGTTCTCTCTCAGAGTTTTGTGAGGGCTCTCACTCTTGACCTGAATTTCTTGGGAATAACATATTGAAATAAATAAACGGTATATATTGCTAATGCTACCTTGATTCCATCTCAGTCCGAATGCTTAGTCTCCTCAATGCTCCTGACCGCAGCACGATCCTGAAAATTGACAGCTGAACGATCCAGACGGTCGTTATGTCCTATTTATGCGTGCCCAGGATCATGCCACAATCCTAATCTCAAGACTTGTGGCTGGGGAGTGTTGCATTGTGAAATTTTGCAGAGGCTAGCACACTGGTGAGGAGGGCCAATGGGCCCTTCAGAAAAGCTAAACCGTCCAATTTTTTACAACACCATGCGCCAACACCAAAAATTCCAGCATAAGCAACAAATTTCAAGGCCTTGCTAGGCTGGGGGAGTGGGGGAGGAGGGCAATGTCAAGGATGGCATATGCGTGTGCGTTCGACATGCAGCAGCAGGAGCGAAAGGAGAAGGAGGAAAGAAAGTTGCAAGTTGCAACATGTCTGTCTGTCTGTCTCTCTCTCTCTCTCTCTCTCTCTCTCTCTCTCTCTCTCTCTCTCTCTCTCTCTCTCTTTCTCTGTGTGTGTGTGTGTGTGTGTGTGTGTGTGTGTGTGTGTGTGTGTGTGTGT